AACTAATACTGTCACATGGTAATGGACCAAGAAGTCAGGTATCAACTCCCAGTTCAAGGAACTTTACCCTAAAAGAGACACTTAAAATTCACATCCCTAAAGGGAACAGAAAACTCTAATAAGACACTTGAAATGATGGAAACTGATACCCTTAGTTGGAAATAAAATACAGCTTTAACAAGCAAGATTTACTGTATGTCAGGCCTTGAAAACAAAGCTGCCCTGTGTGGACTTTCATCTTGATCGTGCCTCTAACTCCAGGGGGAGCCATTCATGAAGACTAGGGCTGTCCAAAAGAACTTTCTGCAGTGATGGACATGTTCTGCCTGTGCTAGCCAGCGTAGTAGCCACTACTCCCATGTGGCTGTTGAGCATTTGGAATGTGATTAATGTGACTGCATTTTTTTTAGTTTTATTTCCTTTTCATTAAATAGCCACATGGGGCTGGTGGCTGCCGTATTGGACAGTACAGATGCAGATTACTCTGAGTAACACTTCCTAGAGTTGTGCCACACAGGGGCACTGGTGAAAGGTGCTTTCTAAACTAAATATTGAAACCCAACTCAAATTATATTAAACTAAAAAACAGTTATGAGGGTACAGAGTGACTCACAGACTGCCGTAACAGGCATGCATCTGAGCCCAGGAATAATTGGGGCCTGGAATTCAAATGTTATCCAGACTTTTGCTCTTGGCTCTGCTTTCTGCCTATTGTGCTTTATTTCCTTTGCACACAGACCGTCTCTTCCCCAGCCCACATTGTAAAGAGAAGGCTACAGTCAGTAGTCTCTTAAACTGAGATGTTTTAGCTGGACTGAACAAGAATCGTTCTGATACACAACTCCTAAAAAGAACTTGGTCAAATGATGGTTCCTTTAGCAATAATGTAAAAGAATTTCCATAAAAAAGAAGATAGAGACAAATTCATATGTCAAATGTCAAGTTTTTTATTAGATCAAAATCAGACCTTTTTTTTCAGATTCAGTGTCTGTGAGATAGTCATTAAATTAGTTTCTTAAGTTGCCACAGGAAAAAAAAAAGCTATAGGAGCTCAGTTTTAAGTATAAGAAGTTGTTATGGGTTAAATTTTGGTCCCCAAAAAGATATGTTGAAGTCCTAGCCCCCATTATCTCAGAATGTAACCTTATTTGGAAATAGGGTATTTGCAGGTATAATTAGTTAAAATGAGAATACTGGGGTAGAGTGGGCCCTTAGCCCAATGTGACTGGTATGTTTCTAAGGAGAAAAGACACAGACACACAGAAGACAGGAATGATGGAGGCAGGGACTGGAGTGATGCATGTGGAAAGCAAGGATTACCGGTAAATGTCAGAAGCTGGAAAGGTTCTCGCCTACATGTTTCACACCTTGACTTCAGACTTCTAACCTCCAGAACTGTGAGAGAATAAAGTTTGTTGTTTTAAGCCATCCAAGTCTGTAGTAATTTGTTATGGTAGCCTTAGGAAAATAATATGGAAGGGGTAGGGAATGTCATGTTTATTTTACTACAGAAGAGAAAGTGAATAGATGGGAAGAGTACTGAGGAACCTCCAAGAATAGTTTAAGAATTTACCATCTTGATTGCCCTTTCTCCTTCATTTAATCGAAATGTTTTAGGCCATCAAAAGTGTGCATACCAAATGTAAAATAGATAGCTAGTGGGAAGCAGCCACGTAGCACAGGGAGATCAGCTCAGTGCTTTGTGACCACCAAGAGGGGTGGGATAGGGAGGGTGGGAGGGAGATGCAAGAGGGAGGGGATATGGGGATATATGTATACGTGTGGCTGATTCACTTGGTTATACAGCAGAAACTAACACACCACTGTAAAGCAATTATACTCCAATAAAGATGTTTAAAAAAAAAAAGCGTGCTGGGCTTCCCTGGTGGCGCAGTGGTTGGGAGTCCACCTGCCGATGCAGGGGACACGGGTTCGTGACCCGGTCCAGGAGGATCCCACATGCCGCGAAGCGGCTGGGCCTGTGGGCCATGGCCGCTGAGCCTGCGTGTCCGGAGCCTGTGCTCCGCGACGGGAGGGGCCACAACAGTGAGAGGCCCGCGTACCGCAAAAAAAAAAAAAAAAAAAAAAAAAAGCGTGCTTATCAGCACTTTTTCAAATTGCTTTCCAATTTGTCTTCCTAGATACTCTTCTAAATTGTTTCACTTTATATCCATATTGATCTGTTGAAAGTACAGGTTATAGCTTAGGGATTTAATATTTTAAAAAAACAGCTGTTTCTAGCTTTCTGTGGAGCCTAGGAAATCACTCAGTGTTTGAAAATTGCCTTTAATTATATGGAACTTAAGCCTTGAGTAAGTATGACTAATAGTGCCAGTGGTTAGGGAGCTTTGTGAGCTCCCTCTCTTACAATATGTTTTCAAAACTAATATTGTCTTTGTCAACAATCACAGTTAGGTGGAGATCATCTTAGATAAACCAAGTTAACTCTAACCCTAAGTTCTTGTTTTCCCAAGAAGACCAAGAGAAATGTCAAGGATGTGCTCAAGGGCAGCATTATAAACAATGTGACTAACAGCTGGGAAACTACTGTCTCAGCCTTAACAGAGTCTTGTATAGCGAAGACCTACTGTTAAAATTCTCTCAGCATTCTGGAGAAACAGCTTGCTACAGAGTGAATTTGACACCCCACAGGCATGTCCTTTCTTGGGAAGTGTTTCATCAAAATGTGGGAAGAGTGACATCAAAATGGAAAGCCACATATCCTACAGGAGCAGTAGAGTAGGTGGCAAATTCCCTTTGATCCAAGAGGCATGAGCTTTTGGCTAAGATGAAAAGGGTTGTGGAGAAGTGGCATTATTTATCTCACAGTTCTTGCCTTTGCCAGCTGGGATGGCCACATCCAACCTAGAGGACACGATGAACTCCCTGCTGGACCTTACCATATGATGATGAGATGGTGGACTATAATGGATCCTATCATGTGCGCACTGAGAGGCATCAGAACATTGTAAGTGGGCCTGGAGCTTCGGCTTAGACTGGAAGTCAGAGTCTAGCACTGCCTTCTCCAACTAGCTGAGCGTGTTTCACACCTAATGTGCTTTACAGCTGACAACAACACAATGAATAAAGGAGTTATCCACATTTTACTCATGTGGCTACTCATTAAAATGCATTTACTGCCTTTGACTATTTCCTCTCCCTGGCAACTAAGTCAAAATTCAGCCCTAAGTAGACCAAAGAAAGAATGAGCTGTAGTGGTAAACAGATTTGTTTTCTCTTTTAATTTTAAATTGGGCTGCACCAAATTGGAAATGATTAGGAGCTCTCACCACAGATTTGATTTGATTTGTCAGTCTGTACTAGCTGCTAGCAGTTCATTCTAGGACGTATACTTGATGCTGGGCAAAGGTAGCAAGTGTACTAACCTTCATTTTGTTACTTTCAGGACTACCTAACTTGGTGGAGGGTCTGGGTCTAGCCCCTTCTTTGGGGCTTGGAAGTCTAAATCTGACCTCTCATTAACACAGATGACCTATTTGCCTTAAGGTTTAATCACTAGGAATAGCTAGTGACTGAGCATCAGAAAACTAGTTCTGGGGCTCCCCTGGTGGCGCAGTGGTTGAGAGTCCGCCTGCCGATGCAGGGGACGTGGGTTCATGTCCCGGTCCGGGAGGATCCCACACGCCGCAGAGCGGCTGGACCCGTGAGCCATGGCCGCTGAGCTTGCACGTCCGGAACCTGTGCTCAGCAACAGGAGAGGCCACAACAGTGAGAGGCCCGCGTACCGCAAAAAAAAAAAAAAAAAAAAAAA